GTCCTGATGCCTAGCTTGAAAAAAAATTAATGTATTAGTCTCTGAAGTCATGAAGAAACAAAAAGTACAGTTACAAACCTTAGTTACAATAATACTAGCTTTTATAATTGCTCACTGGGAGCCTTATTTCTTCTTACGGCTGCTAGATGATATCTATCATTTCAACCCATGTGACTTCCTTGAGCACTTATTTCAGGGGAGATCTAGTGGTAACAAACTCCCTCAGCTTTGGTTTATCTGGGAATGTCATCATTTCTGTACATATTTTTACTGGGGATTGAACCCAGGGCCTCACGCATGCTAGGCAAATGCTCTACCACTGAGCTATATCTGCAGGCCTCTCCTTCACTTTTAAAGGACAATTTTGCTGAAAATAGGATTGATTCCTGGTTGGTTGCTGTTTTTTTCTTTAGTGCCTTGAATACAGATTATCTCAGATTTATATGGTTTGACTTACAATATTTTTATTTTATAATGTTGTGACAACAATAAACAGTCAGTAGAAACCACATTTTGAATCTTTTGAATTTTGATCTTTTCCCAGACGATCGATACTCTTGTTTAATGCTGAGCAGCAGCAGCGAGCCACAGTAGCGAGCCACAGCTCCCAGTCAGTCAATCATGAGGATAAAAAAAAAATACACTACAGTGTATTGTGTTGCTGTGATGTTTGGAAGGTTAGGTGTATTAAATGCATTACAACTTACAATATTTTTAGCATATAATGTATTTATCAGGACTTAACCTTGTGATAAATCAAGGAGCAACCCACTATCTTCTAGCCTACTGTATAAAGTTTTTGAAGGGAACTCTCTGGATAATTAGATTGAGGTTCCTCTTTGCATGATGAATGATGAGTTGCTTCTCTCTTGCAGCTTTCAAGATTCTGTCTTTTCCAAGTTTGAGTATAAAGCCTGATGCTGGCACGCATGCGTGGTGATCCCAGATGCTTATTGTTCTATAAGGCCCTTAGGCTCTGTTCACTTTCCTCCAGTCTTTTAACTTTGTTCCTCAGAATTATTTTCATAGCCCTATCTTCAATTTGATGATTTGTTTTTCCTGCTTGTTCAAATCTGCCTCTGAGTCCCTCTAGTGAATTTTTCGTTTCATTTATTATATTTTTGAGCTCTGTAATGTTTTTTTCTGGGTTTTTTTATTTTTTATTTTTTAGGTTTTTGGTCTCTTTATTGATGTTGCCATTTTGCTCATACGTATTTTTCTTGACTCCACATTTTCTTTTAATTCTTCAAGCATCTTTAAGATAGCTACTTAAAGTCTTTATCAGAAAACATTGCCATCAGGTATTTTTCAGGGACAGTTTCTGTTGATTTACTTATTTTTCCTTTGAATAGACCATATTTTCCCCTCTTCATATGTCTATGATCTTTTGTTGAAAGGTTGACATTTGAATCTAATAACATGGTACCTGTGTAACTCAGATTTTTCCCCTTCCTTAGTGTTTGCTGGGTTTTACTATTTTTTTCTTGGGTTTTTTTTGGGGGGGGATTGTTTGTTTTTTGAGATAAGGTCTGGCTTTATAGCCCAAGGTGGCCTCAAACTGACAGTGATTCTCCTGCCTCAGCCTCCCAAGTGCTGGGGTCACAGGCATGTGCCACCATACCAGGCTTCACTATTGTTTTTATTACTTTGGGATTTTAAATATAACTATCTGGTGTATGTTGTCTCTGAACCAAGGATCAGCCTGAGGTGTAAACATAAGGTCTTCTTGCATCACTTCTTAGACTGTGCTTCTGCCTGGGCATGATGAGTTGTTTTCTAATTTTCCCCATAAAATTGAATATCTAGCTCCTAAAAGGGAAAAGAGAAAAATGAAGGTGGGGGAAGGGCCCTTTAAATACTCTGAATGTCACTTCACCTGGAGGAGCAGGGCTTGCAACAATGGCCACCAGCCTCTTTGTCTGTACCTGAGCAGGCAGAGGCAGTGATCAGTGATCCAAAGATAAATTACCAACATTTGCAGAACAGTGTCATTGTGTTCTCCGTGACACCTGCAGACTGCCTGCCATAAGGCTGGGAATGAGACCCATGTGGCTGTTACTGTGCTAAGGGCTGAAATTGACTAAAATTGACCACAATTTATTATCTAGGCCTTCCCCTGAAAATTTCAAGCCTTCCGTGGACCCCAGAGTTCTAACACAGTTCCATCAGAAAGATTCTGCTCAATAATTATTGTCCAGGTGGGGAGAGAGATTCCTAGTGCTTCTTACTCTGCCATCTTCCCAGAATTATTCTCCTTGTCAAGGGCTGGGGATTTAGCTCAGTGGTTCCTCAGCCTGCCTCATAAGCGCAAAGACCCGAGTTTGATCGCTGGTACCAAAAAAAAAAATTCTCCTCATCAAATGTTTTTTTGACATCAATTGAAAAGATCACGTTATTTCTTTAGCCTGTTGACATGGTGGATTGCAGTGACTGACTTCCAGAAGTTCCAGAAGTTCCAGAAGTTCCTTGAATAGGTGGAATACATTGTACTTAGACATGGTGTATTACTCTTTGGATAATGATAATCCAGTAACAGTTGGATTTTATTTACTAGGATTTTTGTGTTAATGTTCAGAAGAGATACCAGTCAGTAGTATTCATTCCATATGTTTTGTGGTTTGTTTGTTTTTTTTGGTACTGGGGATCAAACTTGGGTCCTTGTGCTTACAAGGCAGGCGGCAGAACCACTGAGCTAAATCCCTGGCCCTATTCATTCCATATGAATGAACCAGATAATATCTTCATCTGGTTTGGGTATTAATATAATGCTGGCCTCAAAGAATACACTATGAAGTATTCCATTCTATTTTCTGGAAGACATTGTGGAGAATTAGTATAATTTCTGCCAAGCATGGTGGTGCACACCTGTATCCCAACATTCAGGAGGCTGAGGCAGGAGGATCACTGGAAGTTCAAGGCTAGCCTCGGCTACACAGTGAGTTCAAGGCCAGCCTGAACTGCATAGTGAGACCCTGTCTCAGAAAGAGAGAGAGAGAGAGAGAGAGAGAGAGAGAGAGAGAGAGAGAGAGAGAGAGACAGAATTAGTATAATTTCTTCCTTAAATACATCCCCTCTATCATGGTTCTTTATTTCTTGGTTCTTTTATTTCTCTATCCTCTCTCTCTATTTCTCTGACTCCTTGCTCTGAACCATCTCCCTGTCTTCCTTCCCTCCTTCCTCCTTTTCAGGCCTGCAGCCAGTGAAGCTACCTCCAGACCAGCCTTGCTGGGGGAGCTCCAGTCCTGGGAGTCAAGGAGTCTCTAAGGCCTCACGCACCCCCCCCCCTCAGTTTCTTCTGATCTGAGGGTGTTTCGTGAAATGTGGGAACAGAAAGGTTCAAAATTCACTGTCATCACTCATCTTCCACCAAGGAAACTGAGGCCCAAGAGACCTGCTCAGACTGGAAGAAGAAGGGTGTTGAGAAGAGAAGATCAGTACTATCTCCTGTGGTTTAAACATGCCCCTCCCCAGTGACCATTGTGTGCTGGAAACTTCATCTCCAAATTCATATGTTAATGGTATTTGGAGGTGGAATTTTGGCGGGTGATTGGGTCATGAGGACTCTTCCCTCATGAAAAGATCGGTCCACTATGGGTTACTGAGGAAGCAGCTTTGCTATAAAAGTGAGTTCTCCCTGGGACTCTTGGTCTGTCTTGCCATGTGATGCCCTGCACTCCAGTGGGACTCTGTAGAGAGTCCACACTAGCAAGAAAGCCTCTGTCAGACATGGCCCCTCAACCTGTACCTCCCAGTCCCCAGAATCATGAGCTGAATAAACTTCTTTCCTTTATACATTACCCAGCCTCAGATATTCTGTTATAGCAACATGAAGTCATCATGCCACCCTCTCTATCGGAGATGCACACCTGAACGAAGCTGCCCAGAGCCAGGCTCTCCCATACTTCCAACCCTAGCCGGTATCCAACCTCAAGCTTCGGGCTGCTGGCTAAACTTTTAATAATGGGGCAAAATAAATAAATAATAAGGTAGAAGGTATAATCTTGTGGGAAAGAAGAAAATAACCCACCCCTTGTACCCCACACAAAGCCTGGCATGCTTCCATCCATTCCACAAAACATTTATTGAGTACCTGCTATGTGCCAGGCAAAGAATAACAACAAAGTACCCGTTCTAACAGAAATTTTATTCTAGTAGGGAAAACAAGAAATAAACAATTTTCCAACAGTGATAAATGCCTTGAAGTGAGTATTTTCTGCAACCCCGGATTCAACTCACAGTTCAGGCCTTAAACTCCCAAACAAACATTGTTGGTTTCTCTCATCTCCCATGGTCTGCTTCTCATAAGCCATTTCCTCTGAGACATTCAGCATCACTCAAACTCATCCATCACCTTCCAAAGGGAACTTATTTCCTGTCTCAACTGGCTCCACACCAACGTGGGCAGGCTGACCTTTGGCTCCTGGCCTTTCCTTCCAAGAGAAGACTCCCTCCACAGCCTGAGGACCAGAGTTGTTCATGAGCAACCCCTTCACCGGAGCTCAGGAGACCCCACAGTGCCTAGCAATGGAGCCACATGAGAAACTTCCCTGCGATGTGGACCAGACTATGTCCCTTGATGGTAATAAGTACTTACACTAAAAAGCAGGGGTGAGCAGGGATGGCACAGCTGTGTTAGCTCAGCCACATGCAAGTTTCAGAACCAGAGGAGCCCACAGAAGAGACCCCTCCAGAGTGACCCTGCTCCCCCGCATCTGGTTTCTGCTATGGACCAAATGTCTGCTCCTGGCCCCATTCAGTTCATATATTGAAGCCTAATCCCCGGTATGATGTTATTAGGTGAGGGCTTTGGCAGCTGATTAAGTCATGAAAGTGGAGCCCTCATGAATGAAATTAATGCCCTTATCAGAGACAGAAGAAGCTGGGTGAGGGCTTGGGGATTTAGCTCAGTGGCGCTGTGCTTGCCTTGCAAGTGCAAGATCTTGAGTTCGGCCCTGTAGCCGCTGCCTCGGCCGCCGCTTCTGCCGTGGGGCTGAGTGTAGTGGGCGAGCGGACGAGCGCGGGGCCGCCAGATCATGTCCGCCGTCCGCTCTGCGCTCCGGGGCGAGCGCTCGAGCGCCACGGCCGCTCCATGAATTCCAGCTGAGCGCGGGGGCGGGCGGGACCTCAGCGCCCGCAGACCTAGCCCGGCATGGCTAGCTCGTGCACCGTGCAGGTGAAGCTGGAGCTGGGGCAACGCGCCCAGGTGCGGAAGAAACCCACCGTGGAGGGCTTCACCCACGACTGGATGGTGTTCGTGTGCGGTCCGGAGCACAGCAACATTCAGCACTTCGTGGAGAAAGTCGTCTTCCACTTGCACGAGAGCTTTCCTAGGCCAAAAAGAGTGTGCAAAGATCCACCTTACAAAGCAGAAGAATCTGGGTATGCTGGTTTCATTTTGCCAATTGAGATTTATTTTAAAAACAAGGAAGAACCTAAGAAAGTCCGCTTTGATTATGACTTATTCCTGCATCTTGAAGGCCATCCACCAGTGAATCATCTCCTCTGTGAGAAGCTCACTTTCAATAACCCCACAGAGGACTTTAGAAGAAAGTTGCTGAAGGCAGGAGGGGACCCTAATAGTATTCATACCAGCAGCAGCAGCAGCAGTACTAGTTTTTCAAAGCCTCACAAATTAATGAAGGAGCACAAGGAAAAACCTTCTCAAGACTCCAGAGAACATAAAAGTGCCTTCAAAGAACCTTCCAGGGATCACAACAAATCTTCCAAAGAATCCTCTAAGAAACCCAAAGGAAATAAACCACTGAAAGAAGAGAAAATTGTTCCTAAAATGGCCTTCAAGGAACCTAAACCCATGTCAAAAGAGCCAAAACCAGATAGTAACTTACTCACCATCACTAGTGGACAGCAAGATAAGAAGGCTCCTAGTAAAAGGCCCCCTATTTCAGATTCTGATGAACTCTCAGCCAAAAAAAAGGAAAAAGAGTAGCTCAGAGGCTTTATTTAAAAGTTTTTCTAGCACGACACCACTGATACTTGTTCTGCTGATAAAAAGCAGATAAAAGATAAATCTCATGTCAAGATGGGAAGGGTCAAAATCGAAGGGGAGGTATCAAAGAAGAAACCAACTTTGCCACCTTTTGATGATATCGTGGATCCTAACGATTCAGATGTGGAGGAGAATATGTCCTCTAAATCCGATTCCGAGCAGCCCAGCCCTGCCAGCTCCAGCTCCAGCTCCAGTTCCAGCTTTGCACCGTCCCAGACCAGGCAACAAGGTCCCTTACGGTCTATAATGAAAGATCTGCATTCTGATGACAATGAGGAGGAATCGGATGAAGCAGAGGGTAATGACAATGACTCTGAGATGGAAAGGCCTGTAAATAGAGGAGGCAGCCGAAGTCGCAGAGTTAGCTTGAGTGATGGCAGTGATAGTGAAAGCAGTTCTGCTTCTTCACTCCTACATCATGAACCTCCACCACCATTATTAAAAACCAACAACAGTCAGATTCTTGAAGTGAAAAGTCCAATAAAGCAAAGCAAATCAGATAAGGAAATAAAGAATGGTGAATGTGACAAGGCATACGTAGATGAGCTGGTCGAGCTTCACAGAAGGTTAATGACGCTAAGGGAAAGACACATTCTGCAGCAGATTGTGAACCTTATAGAAGAAACTGGACACTTTCATATCACAAACACAACATTTGATTTAGATCTTTGCTCACTGGACGAAACTACAGTCCGTAAACTACAGAGTTACCTGGAAACATCTGGAACATCCTGAGGATACAACAACTGGATGCATCAAAAACTATTGTTTTTGGTTTGGTTTTTTTTTGGGGGGGGGGTTGTGGTTTTTTGTTGTTTATATGAAAACACTCAGAATGATGCAACCAAAAGAGAAAAAGTAAAAATCAAACAACCCTCAGCTTTATTTTTCTTCAAAGCCAGTCATCATCTCTTGATAAAGGAGAGGGTAAGCAAACCAGCCTCAGCGGACCACTCTTCTCTCCAAGGAAATCCTGGGAAGAGTTAGCCTGGATAGCCTTGAAAACAAAGCAGACAAAACACAGGAACACTTAGAGAATGTGTACGGGATCATGTGTCTCTCTCTCTGGTATAGTTCATTCCACAGGACGAATGCATATTCAACACACTGCCTTATTATGTAACTGATCTATCTATTATCGCATACAGATATTTTAAAGTCTTTGAGGGAATGACACCACCAGACGTCAAAATACTTGGTCACGTGGATGCTCTATCAATGCAGCACCCTCGCCGTCCCACGCCCAGTGACCTAACCCAAAACAGGCCAACCCCCCCCAAACTCCTAAAAAGCCCTGAACGGGGCAAAAGCCGGAATTTCCAACCTCCGGTTTTCCAAGGCCAAGAAAAAAAATAACAAACGGGAGGAGGGGGGACCAAATAGGCACCTTGATTTTCTTCTTCTTTGTGGTCTTTTTCTCCTGAAAGTTGGGGCCCAGTCCTTGGCTGTCTCCATGTAATGATCTTGGACCATGGTAGAAAATGCACCAAATAGGATCATATGAATTGCTGTCTAGCCTTAGTCAATAAACCTGTAGGACTTCTAACAAAAGTGTACCTGTAAATGTCCTGAATCCAGCATTGTTAAGCTGTCATCAACAGTCTTGTGTCTGTTTTACTGTTATAATATTAGGTAAATATGGAAGTAAAAGCATTCCACAGGATCATCATTTTAAAAAAGGAATTCAAGTCCTATTTTCTAAATACAGTAGAAATTAATTCAGATCTATTTATTAATAAGCGTTTCAGATCTCTGCAGCTGCCAGTGTGGGACTCATCTTTACCTTAAACCAGGAACCAGAGGCTTTTGTTTGCTTAAATATGATTCTCTTAAACTTTTGTATTCAAGAAATTAAAATCCTCCTTTGGGGATAATTCTTGTTTATTCTGCCATCACAGACTATGTTTTAACTTATAGATTGGTGGTTCGATACCTGTTAGACACTTGCTAATGTTTCCAGAAGGACTTCCTGTATTGGTGAAAGTAAAGATGATTGGGGAGGGAGGACGATTTTTGTCCTTATTGTACCCTTGGTTTGACACTAGAAATCTGTCCTGTGGCATGCAAGACAAAGCAAATTATTTTTAAAAGAAAAAAGATAACCAAAGTACTTTGGTGTCATTATTCTACCCTCTCCATTCAATGAGAAGTGAAATGAAAAGTGAGAACAGCTATCTTCCAAGGTTTTTTAGGAACTCAACTGGAAAGAAAAGAAATGAAGAAGTACTTCTGGATCCAAGTGTCCGTCACAGGATCGGCCTTAACGTCTCTGAGCTCATGGCCAGTGCCTCCCTCGAGTGTTCCATGCCAGGCGCTGGCCCCTCACGCAGAGGTTAACTAGTGTCCATGCAGAAAACATCTTTCCAGACCCACCCGTTCTTTGGGGCAGTAATGTAAATGCAGATTGATAATGAAGTGATTTCTGCATTTTAAAAAGGGGATTTTTTTACACTGTTTCTTTCTATCCAAAGAAACTATTTTTTTCCTTTAAAAAATTATAATACAGCCATGCTCCTTGTAATTTACTTCTCTGAAGTGTCCTCCCAGAGGACAAGTGTGCTTTTCCAAGAATGTTATGACTCTTTATGATGATTGGCATGAACCGTACTTGAAGCATTTGTTGTATAGTCAACTTCTTAATGTGCAATTACAGAGATACTTTGCAAGTCATTTTGGACATTAGGTGACTGATTAATTGTGTGGTTTTAGTTGTGTTTTTATTTTTAACTTTACAGATAAAAGGGGAAGGCAATGTTTGTATGAAAATGTTTGTAAAGATTCAAAACTCATTTAAATTTTCTAATTGCTAATCCACATATTCTCCCTAAACCAGAAATTTGTGTGGTTTAACTAATACATCTCTGTAGTTTAACTAGGGTCATGCATATGTAGTTTGGGCTATTTTTATTTTTGTAACTAAATTGTATGGCAAAATCTTAAAAAAAAAAAAAAAAAAAAAAAAAGATCCTGAGTTCAATCCCCGCTACCAAGACGGGGTGGTGGGGGGAGAAGCTGGGTGTGGTGGTGCACACTGTGATCGCAGCACCCTCGGGAGGCTGAAGCAGGATGATCAAAAGTTCCAGCCCAGCCTGGGCAATTTAATGACTTAGACCCTGTCTCAAAGTAAAAATGTGCTGGGGATGTAGCTCAATGTGAAGGTCCTGGGTTCAATCCCTGGTGCAGAGGAGAGAGGGGAGGAGAGAGGGAGAGGGGGAGGGAGATCAAAAGCATGCAAGATCCCCCCGCTGGGTATCTTCCCCAGAGAATGAAAAGCATCATACCACAGCGATATACGTGCACCCATGTTCATAGCGCACAGTCTGTAACAGCTAAGGTTTGGAAATAGCCCAAGTGCCCATCAACTGGAAACTGGATAAAGAAGATGTGGGTTTTTTATAAAATGGAGTACTACTCAGCCATAAAGAACGAGAAACTAGAGTCATTTATAGATAAATGGATGCATATTGAGGCCATACTCTTAAGTGAAATAAATAGGATACACATGTGTAAATACTGAATAGTTTCTCTAGTGTGAGAAACTGAAAGTGTAAATAAGGACGAAAATGATTAAAACGAATAACTGATAATTTGAAATAGGAAAAGGTCCAAAGGTGTAGGGGTGGTGGGAGGGCAAGGGGAAAGGGAAGAAGGGAAAGGAAAAATTATGAGAAAGAAAAAAAAATGGAAACAAAGTCTATGTAAATAGGGAAGGGTGGAGGGGTGAAGGGCGCTTAGGTAATGGGGAAAAAAATAAGAACTAAGATACATCATGTTCAGGTACAAACAACCAATGATAAATGTAAACAAATTGTATACCTAAAATGTACCAATAAAATGTACCAATTAAAAAAAAAACACAAAAGCATACAAGAGAGACAGATTCTGAATGTGAGCTCACCCCTTTCTGCTCACTGCCTCAAGGACCATGCCCAGCTGCCCACAGTGTGTTTGTTACAGCTTCCCACACTAAGCCATTCCCACTGCCTATGTTACTCATCCTGCCTTGTAACAAACCTGTCTTACCCAAGCTGGTTTAGGTGGCTTTCCTTTACTTGTACCCCAGATCTCCCTGGCTGTCAGTGGTCCTATTTTTGTCAAAGAGATTATATTAATCAGTAACAAAGAGACCAAAAATACTAGTGTATTGAAAGAGAGAATCTAACAGTTTAGCTAGCCATAAGTCCAGGGCCAGATCTGTTAATGGCTTGAGATATTCAAATAGGAAGAGTAAGAATTTGGGGAGCAGGGAGAGCGTACACTGATACTCTTGATTGATCAACGTGGAAAGAACCAAACAAGGCCTCTGCAAAGGCAGCGTGGATGGACAGAGGGGAGCAGAAACTAGCAATTCACATTCATAAATATTTTTGTGGGACAACTTATTGAGCCTTAAATTGGGCTAAGCATTACATTTAATAGGAGGTGAAGCAGTAACCTCACTGCCTCGCCTCCCATTCTGTTTGAGGCACAAATGGAGGTGAGACAGAGGGGTCAGTGAATGTAGGCAATGCCGGAGTGACTGATAAAATGCCACATTTTAACTGAAATGACATTTATTGAGCATACGTGTGAGCAAAATTCACATACTATATTCAGTCGTCACGTCACCACCACGAGGCAGTCGCTGTTATTCTCCCTGCTCTTCAGACTAACTCTCGGAGAGGCTGAAACCTTGCACCAAATTCCATGGAGAAGATGGGCTTTACGGGCTCGTCTCCCGGTCTCCAAGCGGCGCAGCGACCTCTCGGCCCATAGGTGGAGCAATTGTGGAGGCCTCGCTCGCCGCCGGAACTAAGTTTTCAGCGGAGCAGAGGCTGGGATGGGTCCGATCCGCACCTTCCCGGCCCGCGCCCCTATGCTGCGCGCCCTGCTCCTCCTGCACCCCTGGAGGCCCCTGGGGGTCCGCGGCTGCACCTCCCACGGGACCTCTGGGGGCCGCGAGATCCAAGTGCGTGCCCTGGCCGGTCCCGACCAAGGTAAAAGGCCGTCACGGGGTGGGTCGGGACCCGGCGGGCTGAGGGCAGGCCCAGCACTCTGAGCTTCTGCAAGGCTTCGAGCTCGGCCCACGCGCCCTGGAGAGGCTGAGGCCGTGGGCGAGGCGAGTCTCCGAGCGCCACTGAGGACTGGAACCAGATCGCCTCCTCCCAAGCTAGGATTCCCGAGCCGCCCAAGGCCCAAGAAGCGGCTGCCTAACCGCGGTGGGACTTGGTCAGACTCCGTCTCCTCCACCTCCCATTTGGTGACCTCGGGTGTGTGGAAGGAGAGAGGCGTAGCGCAGGGCTGGCACTGGGTTCCAGGAGCTCCGGGTCATGAGCGATAAAGTGCCAGCTGCTACCCCCCGCCCCCAGGGTCCTGGCGCGGCTCTGGAGCGGAAGCGGCGGAGCCAATCCTGCGGGACGTGCGGGGACTCGGGAGCGGGGAGCCGGACGGCCGCCTGTACCCCGCGCGCTGGCTCCCCGGGGAAGTTCAGAGGTTGCGGGCAGATAACGCCTTTGATCGCTCCTCGTGTTGGCCGGGGGTGGGGTGAGGGTGTTGTTTTTGCACTTAAGGTGCGTTCGACGGCGCCCATCGGGCTCCCTAGTCCGCTGTGGAGAACCACCGGGGTGAGACCCTTGTCTTTCCAACCCCCTAGTCCCATTTCCTTTCCCGGGCGTTTGATGTCGGGTTATTCTTTTTTTTTTAACGACGGGTTATTCTTGTGAGTTGTGTTGCGTTGTATATTTGACTGTATTTCTTGCCGTTTATGCCCTGACACTTTTTTATTAGTACATGTTTGTTGTACGTACTGAATCCAAGCCTTGTAGGAAGTTGGTGCATATAAATGACACTAAGTTTTAAAGAGCTGCTTTTCCATATTACTTGTTCCCCTGGTTTGGAGTGAGGGGTTTTTAAGCCATTTGTTCTCCACTCTGCTTTCCAGCAGCCTCTGTTGACCCCACCCTACCACCTAGCCTTGCTCTAGACCAGTGATGGCAAAGCTTTAGAGCTTTCAGTGATACAAACAGGCTGCTGTGGCACGCGTGCCATAGATTTGCCACCACTGCTTGACCATCCAGACAGAAATGACCTCAGCCAGCTGCTCAGGAAAGGCGCATTGTGCTTGGTGAGAGGGGGAAGGGTGCAGTGCAGACCCAGCTGCACTGGTAGGGTCAGAACGGGCTATGCTCCCAGAATCTGAGACAGACTGAGAAGGCAGGGACCAGCGCTAGGTCCTCTGGTTCTCCAGAACCTGGCATGGGGATATGCACGTTGTTATCATCAGGTGGGTAAATAAAAGCCAGAGACACCCTGCCTCAGGACTCCTGGCCTGGGCTGCAGTCTCCTTAGGACCTAGAGTTGCCTAAGTCCCTGCTCATTTTGCCCTGCTTACCACACACTCAAACTGCGGCCAGACACTTTGGTACATTTGATCTCTTTTTACTCCTCAGATCGACCTTTTACTTGTTTCTCTTTACAGATCAGGAAATTAAAGGCCAGAGGGTAAAGACACTTAACTAAGGCCCTAGAGCTGGTTATCTGACCTGTGGCTTAAATCAAGGATTGTAAGACCTGCCAATCAGAATTCTGAGGAGGATATACAGGTGGAGAGAGAAAATGAAGACAGAAGATGAGAGGAGGGGCCAGAGATACAGCTCAGTGGCAGAGCTGTGGTTTACCACGCTCAATTCCCAGCACCATCCAAAAAAAAAAAAAAAAAAATGAGAGTTAGGCAGAGAGAAAGGACAGAACAGGAAAGCAAAGAGGAGAGGGGAAAGTGTCTCAGTCTCAGGCCATCATGATTGCTTGTTTTGTTTTTTGGTACCAGGGATCGAACTCTGGACCTTGCGCTTGTGAGGCAGGCAGTGGAACCACTGAGCTAAATCCCCAGCCCAAGGCCATCATGATTGTATTTGTCTTCTGTTTCCATATAACAAACGACCACAAACTCCGTTGCTTAAAACAACATACACTTATTCTCCCATAGTTATTGTAAGTCACAAGTCCAGGAGAAGCTTAGCTGAGTTTTCTGTGTCAGTTGTTAACCAGGATACAGATGTGGAGTTGGCTGGAGCTCTGGTCTCATTGGAGGCTTTACGGGAGTGGGATCTACTTCCAGGTCCTCCAGCAGTTGACGGAATTCACCTCCTCTTGGCTGTGGGACTGACGTCCCATTTTCTTGCAGATTTTTGGTCAAGAGTCCCCCTCAGCTCTTAGAAACTTGCCACATGTCCCTGTCTGTGTAGGCCCTGGAGTCTGACTAGACAAGAGCCTGGCGTATATCACAGCCTGATCACAAAGTCACATCTTGTTGCCTTTGCATACAGCTTAACCCGATGTCAAAGTGACATTTTATGACCTATGCTGCTTTAAATTGGTTAGAAGCAGTTTTCAGGCCCCATCTGCTCAGGGGAAGGACTTGTTGAGAGTGTGATTAAGTGGCCCAGCATCTGACACACTGACCTTGTATCTAGACTGTTGCAAAGTTTATGAGACGTGAGTCTCTCTGTGCCTCTGATCTCATTTGTGTCCACCATGGTTGCTCTCCCCAGAGTTGCATCCTTTTCTCTTCTGAGGCACCAGAGCTAGGAAGGGCCATAGGGCCATCTGAGCAATCTGCAGACCTCCAGCCTGCTGGGCTCTTAGAGCTTGCTATAGGTTTCCCGGGAGGCTAAGAAGCCTTACTTGCCTGAACATCATGGTCTTCTGCCCTGAGCATAATTCTGTAACTCCTGCTGCGTAACTGCCCCTTGCTGGTGCAAAGCTTGCCCTGGCCCTCTGTGCCTCAGGTCGACTCATTTTTGCCAGCCAAATGGATACTGCTGTTCTGCATGCTGAGGGGCTCAGGAGACAGTAAGAAGGGGCTGTAGGGCCCGCTATTTAGCTCAGTGGTTTCGCCACCTGCTGCGCAAGCACAAGGACCCGAGTTCAATCCCCGGTGCCAAAAAAAAAAAGAAGAGGCTGTAAAGGCCAAAGAATTGGAACAAGCTTTAGCCATCCTGACATTTTATAAGAGAGACACAGCCTGGCGGGGGGGTGATAGGAGTGTTTGAGCCCCTTCCCAGAGCCATCTGTCTTCCCCACACCCTGCACATGGTGCAGATGAGTTCACACCGAAGCAGGGTACGAGGACAGATCATGGGGACCTTTGTGTGTGGTACTAAGAAATTGGACTTTTTTTTTTTAAGGGGGAGGAAAGGGAGAGACGTAGTTAGAAAGAGAACTCTGTCCCAGAAGGAGGCATGTATGTATGTGGGAGAGAGCAAAGTGAAGGACAAGAGGCCTGGTTGGGAGACAAGAACTAAAGGAAAGCCCCAGCTAGTGGCTGTGCAGTGGGTCTGCACTGGGGACTTGAGATCTGTTTAGTTTGGACTGCCAGCTTTGTGACTGAGCACATTTTCTGGGTAATGTGGTTATGCTGGTGGCCTTGGGTGGGGCCCAGGTTAGAGAAGGTTTAAGGGAGTGATCTTATGAATGTGACTAAATGAGTGGAAAACTCACCCAGACAGGCAGGGGATACCAACAGAGACAGACACAACAACAATCAAGCTTCAGGGTTTAATTGTTTGTTTCTTGTGACAGAGAAGCAGGCTGTTTTGCCCTCATGAGTGAATCAGTAACATCTAGACTTTGAGAAATGCTCCTGGGTCCTCAACAGGCGACTACTTTTGAGGGAAAGACAGGGCCCAAGGAAGATTCTGGAGGTTTTAACAGGCTTTTAATAGACACAAAAAATTTTTTAAAACTAGAAAGTCTGGGGCCGGGGATTTAGCTCAGTGGCGCCACGCCTGCCGTGCAAGCGCAAGGTCCTGAGTTCAATCCCCAGTACAAAAAAACCAAAAACTAGAAAGTATGATGTCTAATGGTGCACACTTGAGTGATAAAATGACAAAGTAATACATGGAAAGCCTGGTGCAGTAATCCCAGTACCCTGAGAGGCTGAGGCTGGAGGGATGCAAGGTCAAGCTCAGGCTGGGCAACTTATCAACATAGGAAGACCATGTCTCAAAATAAAATATAAGAGGGCCGGGGATTTAGCTCAGTGGTTTCACCGCCTGCCTCTCAAGCACAAGTACCTGAGTTCAATCCCCAGTACCAATAAATAAATAAAATAAAAAATAAGAAAGGGTAGGGATGTAGCTCAGTGGTAGAAGCCCCTGGGATCTGACCCCAGCACTGTACTGGGGGGAAAAAAGAAGTACATGGAAGTGATTACACAAAAGTTGGAAGAGCTACTCTGGGAGAAAGGAGGAGATGTGATGGCACAGGGCATGCGGTGGGTTTCTGAGGCGGGGTCCTATTGGCATGGCTCCATTTTGTGGCTCTCGGTGGGTATTTCCCTTATCCTAGCATCAGCTCTAGAGGAAGAGTGTCAGTTGTGAAGGGAATGATAATATAGAAGCCGCGAGATGGAAGATGTGTCCCTGCACCTGCGTGTGTGTGTGTGTGTGCACACACACGCGTGTGTCTAATGAAGCAGGCAGGGGCTATTGAGAAGATCATTCTTGCTCCTTTTTCCACTTTGCTCCATGCTTTACAAGCTCTTCTGCTTCCTCTGTGAAGTAGTAAGAGGAACAGTTATTCTTTCCATGTCACAGTTGGAAAAACTGAGGCCCTGGTGTGCGACTGCCAGTCACACTATTCATCAAGGGCAGAGGTTCCCGAGCCCTGGGCTCCTACCCCCTGTCCCCCATCTGGGGTGAGCAGGGCCAGCCCCTCATCCCAGGCTGACCCCAGGCTGATCCCCTGCAGGAATCACGGAGATTCTGATGAACAGACCTCGAGCCCGCAATGCCCTGGGGAACGTCTTTGTGAGTGAGGTAGGAAAGGGGGTGCCTGGGTGGGGCCCCATGGGGCTGGGGTATGGGGTGTCTGACAGGGTGTCCTCCACAGCTGCAGGAAGCTCTGGCCAGGCTGCGTGAGGACCAGCAAGTGCGTGTCCTGCTCTTCAGAAGTAGCGTGAAGGGGGTGTTCTGTGCAGGTGGGTCCCCACCCCAGGGCTCTGGCAGAGGGGAGTAGGTCAGCTCCAGCGTGGGATGCATTATTCCCATTTTACAGATGTGAACTCAGGGTGGTAAAATTCCTTGCCTAGTACCCTACACTAGTGAAGAATCAAATAGAATTTTTCTTTTGTTACCAAGGATTGAACTCGGGTCCTTGCGCTTGCAGGGCAGGCGGTGGAACCACTGAGCTAAATCCCTGGCCCTAGAATTCATTTTGATGTTGGCCCCTCTGACCCCACACACCAACTTTCTGCTACTCCACGGTTTGTTCCAATCCTTCACTGAAGAGATGAGAGAACTGACTCCAGGCACAAGGTCATTTGCCAAGGTGGGACTTTGTGCCCTTTGTCCACCCATAGAATCAGTCCCTGTGGCTGGAACTCAACCACACCTGTGCTATCTGGTCCTCATACAAGGCAGGCATCATGAACTTCTGCTTCAAGGCAGGAGAAAAATGTACCCCAGGCCCAGAAGGAAGAGCAAGTCAAGGACCACAGCTAGGCTGAGAACTGACTCAGGAGGTGTCCTTGGGGAGGGGCAGCAGGGCCAGGGCCCGGTGTTCACTCACTCATCTGTTCATAGACCATGGGCTGTCTTCATCTTTGGTCATTCTGAGTAATGCCCTGTGCATTACTATGCAAGTTTCTGAGTTCCTGTTGCCAATTCTTTTGGGTATATACTCAGGCCTGGACTCCTGTCGTAGTTTTGTTGAACTCATGGAAGAACCACCAAACCCTTTTCCATCATACTGTTTTCCATAACATTCTCACCAGCAATTGTCTGGGATTCCACTTTCTCCACTTCCATGCTGCCACTTTTTGATTTCTAGTACTGGGGATTGAACACAGGAACACCCTACCACTGAGCTGTACCCAGCCCCTTTATGTTTTAAGTAATAACCATCCCAGTGATTCATGGTATCTCACTGTGGTTTTGATTTGCATTTTCTTGCAGACCAGTGATGTTGAGCATCTTTTTGTATGCGTATTGGCCATCTGTATAGTTTCTCTGGAAAAATATCTTTTCACGTAGTTTGCCTACTTTGAATTGTTTCCTTGTTGACTTGTAGGAGTTTGTTTTGTTTTCTCTGGCTCCCGTGACTGCATCTCCTGGAGTTTCTCCTCCTCTCTGGCTACTTCTCGTCTAGTCTCCTTTGCTAGATCTCTAACCACTGGGGATTCCAGACTAGGCCATTCCCCAGATGCAGGCACCAATCCCTGACCATCTGCAGGTGCGGACCTGAAGGAGCGGGAGCAGATGAGTGCGGCAGAGGTGGGGGCCTTCGTCCAGCGACTCCGAGGCCTGATGAGTGAGATCGGTGAGGGTCCGGGAGGAGGGTAGAGGATTGGGGGTGGTCCCTGCTGTCCAGCCCCTCCTCACCCACACCATCCTCTACTTTGAAGAGAGCTCTGGTTTTGTTTTATTGAGACAGCTTCCCACTGTGTCATTCAGGCTGGCCTTGAATTCACTGTTTCTCAGGCTGACCTCGAACTCATGGCGCTCCTCCTGCCTCAGCCTCCCCAGTGCTAGAATTACAGGCATGCGTCACCATGCCTGGCCTGCTTTTTGTTTTGACCCCTGTGGGGAGACAGATGGGATGGGCACAAGGAATTCCACAAGGAAGAGGGGACAAGAGGAAGCAGAGAGCGTTTGTACCAGAGAGGACCCTGGCTGCTTAGCCTTGAGCCCCACTGCAATGACCCTGCCCCACCCCACGGTTCCATCTCAGCTATTCCAGGAGTCAGGCTCACTGAGCATGCTTTCAAGCTTGAACAGTTACTGTTCCCTTTGTCCAGAACACCCCGTCTTGGCTATCTGAGCTTTCACTCATCCTTCAGTACCGCCAGTGCCCCCTCCAGGAAGCCCTCCCAGCCCACCCTCCAAGCTTCCTTTTATGGGAGCACTAAGTTCCCGAGTTATTGCCTGACTGCACATTTGCCTTCTCCATTAGCCCAAGCCCCATGGGAGCAGGGGTCACATTTGATTCAGGTCTGTGTTCCCAGCACCAGGATGGGGCTTGGTGCACACATAGGCAGGTCCCAGGGAGGCCGGTGGGAGAATGGGCCAGAGGAAGGATCACCCAGCCTACACTCCACTCCCCTTCCCCAGAGGTCCCAGAACCTTCCCTGGTGGGGAAACCAACTTCTCAGATAATCTGGCTTAGGCACCAGTAAGGGCCCCAACCGGGGACCCTCTGTTCTGCCAACTGGGGTCTGTGCCCTGATCCTGCCAGGACCACACAAAACTGAGCCCCTCTTCATCCCACAGCAGCCTTCCCTGCGCCCACCATTGCGGCTATGGATGGGTTTGCCTTGGGCGGAGGCTTGGAGCTTGCCCTGGCCTGTGACCTCCGAGTGGCAGGTACCAAAGTGTGTGAGGTGGGGTGAGGAGGGGAGGGTGAGTGAAGCACAGAGTCGAGAGGCTCTGCAAAGTCAGCCACTGCTCTTGGCCTTCCAGCCAAAAGGTAAACTGAGGTAGGGTAGGGGACACAGAGGGAACGCAGGCAAGGCAGGTTTGCCACCAACTGCTTCGGTGCCCACCACCTACCAGAACAGCTTCCACCTTCGGAATGGTCACTGCAGCCCTGTTTCAGGCATCTAACTTGCAGAGTCTGGGTAAGAGTTGAGAGCTGCAGGAGCAGTAGCACGGTCACTTCTTTGCCCACACCACACAGGTCAGGTGGCCTATACTGAGGAAACTCAGGAGAGAGGCCTGTGAGTAGTCAATCAAGGAAACCTTCTGAGGAAGCAGAACTGAGGAGGACAAGGAAAAGGTAGATGTAGACTGAAACCATCAGGAAATTTCAGGCAGGGAAAAGAAGCCCAGAGGTATTATCGTGAGGGGAACAGGAGCTACAGACACTCAAGGCCAGGCCAGAAATAAGGGTACATGAGACAGAATCCATTAACCCATAAACAGGTATCAGGAGCCTTTTAGGAGGCCCTTGTTCAAGCACCATCAGCCCATTTGATCTTTCGACACTGCGTGCAGAAGAGGGCCTAACATGCTCTTCTACCCTTGAGACTCAGAAGGGAGAGACTGCTAATGATGCCCAAACTCCAGCAGTGGGGGTGGGGGAGCCCAGGCCTGAGCCTCCTGACTGCCAGCTGGGGCTCCAACAGAGCCAGAATCTGGAGAGGTCTGGCTGTGGGCAGACCATGAGGGGAGTGGCTGGGGAGAAGCGGAGACTAGAGGCGGGTGTCTCTTCCCCCAGGGATAAAAAGTGGTGTACAAGGGGTGGGACATGGAGGAATTCAACCTGTTCCTGTTTAAACAGCTTCCACAGCTGTCATGGGGCTGATCGAGACCACTCGAGGGCTGCTCCCAGGGGCAGGTAAGTGACCCACAGTCCTGCTCTTCTCTATCTGCCCAGTTCCACTCCATCCAAGTCCTTCCCAACTTTGTTTTTTGGCTCCATGCTGGGCTCTGCCCTCCCATCCTGACTCAGCCTGCAGCTCTGAGAAGCCCTGGCCATGCCCAGTCTCAGCCTTCTCAGAGAGCCTGACTTAACACCCTCACCCGTCCATCCTGGCAGGAGGGACTCAGAGGCTGCCACGCTGCCTAGGGGTGGCCCTGGCAAAAGAGCTTATCTTCACTGGCCGGCGACTGACTGGGGTAGAGGCCCATGCACTGGGGCTGGTGAACCACGCAGTGGACCAGAATGAGGAGGGCAATGCTGCCTACCACCAAGCGCGAGCCCTGGCCCAGGAGATCCTGCCTCAGGTGGGTGCCAGTCAGGCACAGGAGGGAGGGACTGTGGGAGGCATCTATTCAGCTATCTAGTGAACAAAACCAAAGCGAATTTTAATTTTGAATTACAATGAAAATTGAATCCAGCCCACAGTGACACTTGACAGGATGCCAAAAGGCCAGGGAGAGAGAGTCAGGGCCAGAGGTCCATGATCCGCCTCCGGTTCTGGCCAAGTCAGATGACTTACTGGGACTGAACAAAGGCGAGCCAGTGAGCTGTAGATGGACCTGGGAGGGACCTTTGCTCCCCAGTTCACAGGCACCAGCCAAGGCTGGCGCTGCTTGTTCTGCAATTGAGCCTTGAGGGAAGAAATGAAGGTAACTGATCACCTTTCAAGGTCACTGGCTCGGTGCCTGGGAGCCCTTCTTCGTGGCTGACATTCTGAGTGCCATTGGGGTGCTGGCTCCCCATGCTTTCATTGTTACCCCCAAAACCACACTGAAAAATGTATAGCTCCAGGCATAAATATAGCTTCTGTCTTCACAATGTGTGTCAAGAAGGAACTGGCCAAATGGCCAGGCCCTGAAATACTAGGTCAGACCTTAGCCCAATCTGCTCCTCACCAGCAGGTTACAAGCATCTAACTTGCAGAGTTTGGGTGAGAATTCATAGCGGAGAGCCGCAAAAGCACCACCCAAAACAGCATCAACAAAACAGCTTTAAGTCAGATAGTTTCCCTAAAGTTTTAGAATTAGTCTCTATGGCTAGCAGGCATGGTGACACATGCCTATAATCCTAGCACTCAGGAAGCTGAGGCAGGAGGGACCCAATTTTCCAGCCAGCCTGGGTTACATATGAGTTCAAGGCCAGCTGGACTAGAGTGAGACTTGTATGTATGGGGGAGGGGGTTGTTCCCTAGGGAACAGATTTAGGAGACTGCCCAGGAGCAACCCTATCAGCTGCAGGGCCCAAAGACCCAGTGTGATACCAGGATCTTTTCCAAGGGCCTGAGGAGCTTTGCTGGCTTTTCACTAAGGGACAGCAAGAAGGGATGAGGGATGGGGAGGTCTCAAGTTTCCATAAAGTAATAAAGTTAGCACTGACTGATATATAATAAATCTTGACTCCAGCCCATACCAGGTACCTCTTGTGTGTGAGACACAGTTCCTAGCACAAGGCAGCTGAGCTGAAGATCTTCATTTTATTTGTGAGAAGATAGACCCAGAAAAGTTAAGGAACTTGTTTATCAAGGTCACAAAGTTATTGCAACATCAGACAGAGTAACAGATAACACTGGTATTTGGGGGTTTATCTTGCACAACAGAGAGTGCAATGTAGAAACTATTTGGGGGGGGTACTGGGGATTGAATTCAGGTCCTTGTGCTTGTGCAGCAGGCGGCAAAACCACTGAGCTAAATCCCTGGCCCCGAAACTGCTATTTTTAAGAGTGCAGAATAGGTACAAATTTTTTTAATTTTTTGTTTTGATACAGGGTCTTGCTATGTAGTTTAGGCTGGCCTTGAACTCACATCTGTCATCATGCCTCAGTCTCCTGTGTGCTGGAATTACAGGTGTACACCACTATACTTCATTAAAAATGTTTAAAACTTTGAAACCAAATAATACTTTCAAGTACTGGGAACTGAACCTAGGGCCTTCAAACTGAGCTACAACCCCAGCCTTTTTTCTTGAGACAAGGGTCTCCCCAAATTACCAAATTGCCCAGTTCTAGGCTTGAACTTTTAATCCTCCTGCTTTGGCCCCCCAGAGTGGTAGGATTACAGGCATGTGCCTGTGCACTTGATTTATAAAACATTTTAGATCCTAAAAAATTTTACAAACATGTTAAAAACTGTTAAAATGTAAGTCTATAAAATTGGAAACCATATGACGCTTTAGCATTGCTTGTATTTTTTTTTTAAGGAGAGGTTTTGGCTCAGTTTGTAGAGGTTTCAGTCCAGTTGTCTGGCTCCAAGGCAGGGTGCCATGCAGATGGGCATGGCAGAGGAGAAGCAGGGAGCCATCAGAGTACAGGGGAAAGGTAAGGGACGTTACCAGAGACCCCTGCAATGGTCCTGGTCTCTTGCAAGCTAGTACAATGTCTGAAAGATATGAAAGTGGGAGTTAAAAGCACACAGAGACTTGAGAGAAACTGAGTCTTGGGTTGATCTAAGCTGCGCTGGGCAGCAAAGACAAAAGACTTCCAGAACATATAGTCCACAAGTGTGGGAAGAAGGCAAGCTGGGCAGGTCTTGGGACACCTGCTGATAACAAGTATCAAGCAGGCGGGACTGTAGAATGAGGGCACAAGCATATCTTTGTTGAAAAGAACAGTTAATTCAGAGGGGAAAATTTAGTTGGAGTCAGTTGACCTTAACTGGGAGTGAACTCAGCCAAGCTCTGCTACTTTTAATGTAACACAGCCAAATCATGGAGGGGCAAGCAGCTTGTGCCACTGTAGCCTGTTAATAATACTGGGCAGAGGTGTCTACTACAGAAGAGGAAGTGTTACCAAGTTTTGGAGTGCTGGGGTCTCCTTCTGGAGGTGGTTTCTAGGTTCTTTCTGTCCTGAACGAAGAATTGGTGAAGATAAGCACAAATGATAGCAAAGTTTTACTAAAGGTAAGAAAAGAAACAGGTTCTGTGTTGCAAGTTTTGACCAAGTAAAAGGAAAAGTACACCCTACAGCCCAAAGGTGGGCCATCCATGCAACAGAGAACACAGTGTCCTTAAGATTGGATCTGAAATAACCATCAAAATAAGTATCTGGGCGCAGTGGCAAATGCCTGTGATTGCAGCCTCTTGGGAGGCTGAGAGAAAATGGCAAGTTAAAGCCAGCCAGGCAATTTAGGGGCATCCTTCTAAAAAGAAAAAAATTAAAACAAGCATTGGGCATGTAGCTCAGCACTCCTGGGGTTCAATCCCTAGTACTACATAATAATACGGAGTGCTAAGTCTTTATAACTGAGATGTTCTTTCAGGGTAGGGTGGGAGGAGGCTCACTGCCCTTGCCAGGGCAGTCTTGAAGCCTTTAGGTTTATGTGTTTGGAGTCTCTGAATGCACACAGAAGCCAGGGATGACTGAAAGGAGTGGCGGGCTGCAGCTTCCCCAGGGAGCTGTCTAGCTGCACCTGGAGACGGGGTATGGTTTGCCTTTCGGTATAAACGGGGTAACAGGATCTCAAGATGATTTGTTTCCAAATATTCCAGGTGATGGCATTCAACTAATACAATTACAGTATGTGTTATTTCAATATTTAAAAGGAGCTCTATATACCAAAACATCAGCCTGTTGAAAATTAGGAACTACAGTTACTAATCTTCACAGCTGGGACCTTCTGGTGTAGCCTGAACAAACCTGCAACCAACTTCCTGCTGTTACTGGGGATTGTGAATAAAAGGCTTCCCAGGTTAGCTCCATGTGACAGGGGCCGCCATCTAGGGGACAAGGCACTAAGGAGGGAGCCGAATGGCTGGAAAGTTTACTCAGGCTAGAAAAAAAGCTACCAGTAGTATGTGGGTATGAGAGGTCCATATATTAACTCAGATTTCCCCTTTAAATAGTAAATATACATTAGCAACTGAAAGGATTTGACTGTGTTTTCTATTTGAACACCGAAGGAATGCAACATACTCTGGCCACAGTGTGAGCCATAGTCTCTTATCAAAATGTGAATATTTCTAATAATTTAAAAAATATATACATATATCCACACAGATACATATGTTCACACAGTTCACTTTCATGAAAAAAAATCAGTTTATTTGGGTAGTTACTTAAATAACAATATATATCCATGGCAAGTAGATCAAATAGAACAGAGTAAGAATGACACAGTAAAAAAAAAAACAACAAGAGGCTTCCATTTGCTGATGAGGTGAGGCAAAAAGAAGAGAGCGGCAGTAGTAAAGATGACAGGCAACAGTCAATTCTTTACCTCCCCGAGCTGTTTCAATCTGAGAACCCTGGAAAGCGAGTAGACCATTCAGTGAGCCTGCTGGTAAGGAAGTGCTCTGGGAGCCTTAAGATGTGGTAAGCACTGCAAGGATGGGGTGAATGACAAGAACCCAGCTGGTGAGGACCAGGAAGGTCAGGATCAGTCTCCTTCCTTTACTACAGAAAAAGAAGCTTGACCTAAGAGGCAGGAAGATTAGAGCTTAGGAAATACAGTGTACCAAAACAGCTGGTATTGGAACTAGGCCCAGCAAAGCTGTGACTCTCTCCAGCTCAATCCTGGGTTGAGCCACTCTTAACCAAGGACCGGTTTGCTTTTCCCCAGGCCCCCATTGCTGTGCGGCTGGGCAAAGTGGCCATCGACCGAGGAATGGAGGTGAGATTCCACTGGCACAGGACCTAGGTCCACACTAGAGGCAGCAGTGGCTGTGTTTCCCTGGCTCTTAAGACTGACAGCACAGATGGAAAAACTCAGAAACACCTCATCTGCAGGCTTCAAATCTGACCCCTTAGTTTACTCATCTACAAAGTGGTAAATGTGGCCAGATATTCCTGATGACATTTTATCCTCTTCTCTGCTCCTTGGAGAGGAGAAACAGGTTCAGAAAGAGCAAATGGCTTGCCCATAGTCACAGAGGATGCAAACAGGAAGAACCCAGGTTGTGTGGCTCCCAGTCCGAGCTCTATGGCTTTGTGCTGGGCTCAAGCACAGGGCTTGGGGTGATGGCAGTGCAGCTCATCTATCTGTGGAGATCAACTCACTCTTCCCACACTCAAGCTGGACCAGTGCAGGGAACAGGGACAGAGGTGCCCTCACAGTGGGCAAGGAGACACACACAAATACTAGCAGGAGGCTAAGGATGCCAAGCAGACACCTCAGCAGTGAGAGCTGAGCTGCCCATGAAGGCTGCAGGCAGCTGTTAAACTTGGTAAAAAGTGCATTAAGAATATTCAGCTTGGGGCTGGGGATTTAGCTCAGTGGTTCCGCTGCCTGCCTTGCAAGCAGAAGGATCCGAGTTCGATCCCCGGTACCAAAAAAAAAAAAAAAAAAGAATATTCAGCTTTCCCTTTACCTGTGGCATGGGGCTACCACATGGAGAAGTGCTGGCTTAAATGTTTCCCAGGTCTGGGCCTTGGGAAAGGTAAGAATTCCAGAGAAAAGCCAAAGTCAGAGCAAAGACACCAAGGTATGTGAGCAGGCAGCCTGCCAGGACTGAGGCACAGGCTCAAGAGAGTTGCTCTTCATTGTGGCTGCAAGTGGGTTTCTCAGCCATGTAACAGAGCTCTCAATCCTCACCATGAAATTGAGTTCCTATCCACAGTATTTACAGGTGCTGGCAGCAGCGAGTATGGGGCAGCAGAGGCTGGAGAAAGTGCCAGGGCCCCAAGGCCTGCAGCTAACCCCTGGGGATAGCAGAGGGTGTTGTGAGGAGCCAGTGGGAAAGGAGGGACACAGGCTTGAGCCTGCACTGTTCACTCCCCTTCCTGTCTGGAGAAACAAACCAGCAGCTCTACCCACGGCCGAGCAACCCTCCCCAGTTTTCCCAGCACTGTCTCATCACTGTTGTGAATGGTGTCCCTCTCCAGTTGGGAGGCTGCTTGTCAAGTCATCTCTGCTCACAGATGGGCACAGGGAGGAGGGCAAGTGGCTCCCAGTATGGGAACAGCTACACAAAGTCCGGCTGAACCAGGGAGTATTTCCTTGCAGGTGGACATTGCATCCGGGATGGCCATTGAAGGGATGTGCTATGCCCAGGTATGTGACTGCTGCCAGTCCCTGCGCACTTGTTAGTAGTACATGACATATTGGGAAGGCTTTCAATCCGAAGTTTGACTTTGTGCCAGCCCCTCCTCCTCGTAATTAACCTTTAGTGGCTGAGGGGAACATGTGACTCCTCCCTGAAACTTTCTTACTACCAAGTGGTGGTTCAACCTTCCCTATTAGTGACCATATTCACAGGAAACTGCACAAGCACCTGACAGAGAACAGCGTCTGCTGTCCCTGCCAGACAACACGGTAGGGGGTGGGCAGCAGGCAGGATGTCAAGGCCTGGGTACAAGCTACAGGCTGTACACAATGGAAGGACTGAAAACCTGGGGCTGACTCAATTCTCAGTTGAGTAAAAAGAATACTAATCTCAAGGATAATAAATATCTAACACACTCCTAACAAAAGGGTCTTGGAACTGGTAGACCTAGTGAGAACCAACCATATTGCTGGATGCAAAGCTCAATTTCTTGCTGCAGTCTGACCTCTACTGAGCAGGCTCCTATCAGACTGCTGCAGGAGGACATGAGCTCTCTGGAGGCAAAGCAGGGTGCAAGGAGAGGCCAGGGTTGGTGGGGCACAGATGCCAGAGGGTGGCCTGCCTTCCCCAGGAGATAGGCTCACAGCTCTGCCTGGCCCCAGACTAGACCCAGAGACACCTGGGACCTGGCTTTGTTGTGGGCTTGATAAGCTTGAGTAGCCTGGTTTTTATCCTCTCCCTGCTCCCTCCTAACTTGTATTCTGTGCATTTTGCAGAACATCCCAACCCAGGACCGGCTGGAGGGCATGGCAGCCTTCAGGGAGAAGCGGCCCCCAAAGTTTATTGGCAAGTGAGCTCGTGCATGGGAGATGCACCCGGAAGGAGCTCACACCACTCCACCTAAGCTGCCTTCCTTTCTTCTCACCCTACGTAGATAATCACTGGTGTTGGTTTGCTTTGGAGAATGCTTGGCTCTCCCTACTCATGTGACAAAGCACAGATTAAAACGGACCCTTCTGTCGCTGTATTGGTGACTCTCGGGGCCTGGTCTCTGCCTCTTCACCAAGGTGCTTCTACCAGAGACAGCAAAAGGTTGTACAAAACCCCATGTTTCTTCCTTTGGACAAGAGAGACTCAATCCTAGTACTGGTTGAGCCTGTGTCAGGACTCAAACTGCAGAGTCCAGTTACCTGCTGCATAACTTTGGAAAAACTTTTAGGCTTCACCTTTGTTATCTGTGAAATGAATGTGAAGATTTTTTTAAACCCTTATGTTCAATAAACCAAGTTACAGATGCTTACCTCCAGGGTACTACGGGATCAAGTGAAATCACAGTGAAAACCTTTTGTAAACTGTAAGATGGCAGGAAGATCTTCACTGGGCTTCAGGAGCACTAAGAGAGCATTTTTTTTTTTCCAGTACCAGGTAATGAACCCAGGGCCTTTGCATTGAGCTACACTCCCAGCCTTTTTTGAGACACAGTCTAAGTAAGTGGCCCAGGCTGGGCTTGAAGCTATAATCCTACCTAAGTCTCCTAAGTACTTGGGATTACAGGTGTGCACCACCACACTCGGTTGAATGTGATTAATTGTAATGGAGAGAAGGGAGGTTCGGGAAATGAGCAGGCAATGCTGGAATCTCAGCCTGGAGGATTAGCAAAAGATGAAGGTTGATGGGAACAGCATAAGCAAAGGTGAACAAGGGGATGATGTACTTAGTAACAGGAACAGGGGAGGCCTGGTATTCACACATCCACCCTAGTCTCAAGACTTGCCGCCTCCTCTTTACCAAGGCTCTGCTGTGGTCATTTAGCTGGATATGAGCTCTGGCTGAGCGCCCTGAACATAACCATGGACACATAACAGTAATGATGACTTGCTAAATATAAGTTTGCCAGGATTACATTGTATCCTGGAGGGGAGAGTAAGAGAGGAGTCCAGGTCTTAGAATCACAGAGCATCCTCACTGCAGTGATCACTCTAGAAAGTCAACCGTATTGGACTTTCTTTTTCTCACCTGTTAAGTGGGGAGAATAAGACCTCAGAGGACTGTTGTGAATGAGACAAAATTTGAAGGGATACCTGGTACAGAGCAAGGCCACAGCAGACACTGAGCCCTACCACACATCCTCACATCAGCACAAGTTAGGATCTGCACTGTTCCTACGTTCTGGAATCCAGATCAGGAAACTGAGAGACCCCTTTTAGAATCAGTGTGAATGAGTGTGAAAAAATACAGTTCAGTTTAGGGACCATGGAAAGACTTGGTTACAAATTCTGCTTATCTAAGGAGGACACTTGAAAGGAATAGTTCAGAACATGGTTTGGAGTAACTAAGGATGAGTTTCTTCTGCAACTTATTCCCAAAGACGGCACATGATACTCCAGTTAAGAGTCCGGACCAGTCTGGTGTGGTGTGCCATCCCCATAATCCCAGCATTTGGGAGGCTGCGGCAGGAGGTTTATAAATCTGAGGCCAGGCTGGGTTACAGAGTGACACTTTCTCTCAAAATAAATAAAAGGTCTGGACCAAGCCAGCTAAAAGCACAAGACTAGGGTTGGGATGTAGCTCAGTGGTGCCGCCCCTGCCTGGCAAGTGCGAAGTCCTGAATTTGATTCTTGGTACTGAGAAAAAAATAAAAGCACAGGGGCTGGGGATTTAGCTCAGTGGTTCCACCCCCTTCCTGGCAAGTGCAAGGTCCCAAGTTTGATCCCTGGTACCAAAAAAAACCAAACAAACAAAAAAACCACAGGACTAGTCCCTCAACACGCTAATAATCTGGGCTTTACTTCTGGTCCTTAAAGCCTCTGATAGTTTATCTTGTAGCTGAGATTAGTTCTCAAAGAAGTTATACCTTTTTCTCCATACTGAGTAAGAGCACCCCTTGAAATGTTTGGCAGCCTTCTGGGCCCATCCGTTTACTCCCAGTTACAGCAAACTGAAGCAATGAGACTTACAATCTCTGTATAATCTTTCCTCTGCTGTTCTCAGGCCAGGGCCTGACCTGCTGTGGCCACCCTATCCTCATCGCCTGGGCTCAGAATGTCACATTCACTTGGTCTAATTACTCAAGCTGCAGAAGAAAGGGCACAGATAGAATGTCAAGGTTGTATTAAACATTTTCCTCTATACCTCTCAAATGGAAAATATTTGGTATCTGTAAAAAATAAGTTCTTTTATTCTCCAACAGAGGTTTTGCCTTCTAAACAAAATCTATGAGCATATTTTCTGATCTGTTCTTCATATACTTCTTTTCTGGTAGTTTCATATGACCAGAACAACAATTGAGGAAATTTAACATAACCATCAAGATTTCCCTTGTAGGTCTTTGATTTCTCTTCTGGGTACGCAAGTCCTGTTCAACTGACAAGCTCCCGCATGGGGAATGGCCCAGCTCTTTAAACACGAGCTCCCAGGTCCTCCTGGAGACTGTGGTTTGATTTTCTCCAAACTGCTGCTGACGGAGTGTCCCCAAAAGGATTCCACCTCGATCTGGGATTATGGGTAACACACAAATCCAATCCTTTTATAATTTAACTTACAAAAGCTCAACAAGAAGGCCGGGGATTTAGCTCAGTTGTTCTGCTGCCTGCCTTGCAAGTGCAAGGACCAGAATTCGATCCCTGGTACCAAAAAACCCAAAAAACAAAAACTCAACAAGAAAAGGTCAATGAGACAGTCAACTCATTAGTTCCAACAACTGGCTTCAACACTGAATTACACACAGGGCAGAAAGCCTGCTGCTGCAAAACAGAGCGCATCTCCACTGCGCCTTGGGCGCATAAAGAGCACTCAACACAGAGGGAATCTCCGGTAGCTTGTGAAATGCATCCTGAAGTCCTCTAGAATGGAAACTGCAATCTGCTGTGCTTGTGGGTTTGCCTGACCATCCACCTGGATATCACACAAAAGCTGCAATCCTCCTTCTTCAGCTAACATTTTGCAGTACACGCTGGCTGAAAGAAAAATCAAACAAAGACAACTGGTGTTTTGAATATTCCCACGTCACCGTATATACCTTTATGAAGAAAAACTACAAAAGCTTAAGCTCTTTGACCGAGGAATTAACAAATAAAATCAGTCAATTCCAGAGAAATTTGTCAAAACTTAAGTAATGCTTGGCTTGTAGGGTGAGAAAATAGATGATGATTTAAATATGTTTACTTCCAGACAACTCTTAACTTCAAACCCAGGGCCTTGTGGACATCAGGCAAGGGCTCTGCCACTGAGCTACCTCAGCCATCTTTTTTTTTTGGTAGCGGGGATTGAACTCGGGTCTTTGTGCTTGCATAGCAGGCGGCAAAACCACTGAGCTAAATCCCCGGCCCTACTTCAGCCATCTTTAATCCTAGCTTTTATAAAAGAAACAAACTTCCTTTACTTCAAAATATATGTACCTGTCAAGTTCAGGCAGTATGTTGGAAGAAATAACCTGAAATGAATAACAATGTACAGAAAGAATTTTTCGGGATAGAAATGAATATAAGGCTGGGCTTGGTGGCACACGCTTGTAGTGCCACACACTCTAGAACACCAAGGCAGGAGGATCACAAATTCAAGCCTACCCTAGGAATTTGGCAAGATTCCATCTCAAAAAATAAAAAAAAAGGGCTGGGGATTTAGCTCAGTGGTGCTGCTGCCTGTCTCGCAAGTGGTTCGATCCCCGTTACGAAAAAGGAAGAGCTGGGGAGGCAGTTCAGTTTGAAGGCCCTGGGTTCAACCCCAAGTACCATAAGAATAAGTAAATGAAAGAAATTCATATAAAAATGAGCCCAACCCTCTGGAGTACTTCACAGAAGCAAATACAAAATTATGCTGCAGGGCCTAAATTCAGTTTAAAATGGATGTCAATTCAGTCTAAAACGGATTCTCACAGAAAAACAAGCCCTGTTAAAGGGGAGGTCACAATCAAAAAAAATTACAAACAACTGAAAATGCAATATAAGCAAAAATAAATAGATGAGAGCCAGGCCTGGTGACACACACCTATAACCCCAGTTACTTGAGAGGCCAAGGCAGAAGAATTGAAAATTCGAAGCTGGCCTCAGCAACCTAATGAGACTGTGTCAAAATCAAATTTTAAAAAGAGCTGCGGATGTAAAAGAACCCCTGGGTAAATCCTCAGTGGTGGAATGGGGGGGGCAGGGGGATGGAAGGATGACAGATTAGAATCACCTCCCTCAACATGCAAACACAATCAGGTCTGATAAAGACAACAAACAATTACTTCATTGTTTTTTGTTTTGTTTTGAGACAAGGTCTTCTTATGTAGTACGGGCTGGCCTTGAACTCACAGTGCTCCTCCTGCCTCAGCCTTGTAAGTGCTGGTGGGTGTGCACCACCACAGCAAAATAATATTTTTAAGAAATAAAGGACAGGACTTTGTGTTTTCTTATTTTGTTTTTTTTGCGGTACTGGAATTGAAGCCAGGGGTACACTAACAATAAAGCTACATTCCCAGCCCTTTTCTGAGACAGGGTCTAAACTGCCCAGGTGGGACTCAAATTTACAATCCTCCTGCCTCAGCCTTGGTCAGTGCTGGGATTACAGGCACACCCTACTGCACTCAGCTAAGGATAGGCAGATTTGAAAAAGAAGCAAAGAAGATACATATCTGATAGAAGTTCCCCAAGAAAAGAACAGAAAAATGAATGAAAGGTAACATTCAGGAATCAGAAGTAGGAAGTAGAATAAAAATATATCCATATTAAGGCAAGCTACAGTTAAGCTACAGATCAGCAAAAATATAAGGCGGCATATAAAGGAAACAAAGGGAATAATTATCTATCGAGGAATGATAATTAGGTTGACAGCAGAGCTCAATAGCAACAGAAAACAATGGAAATACTTTTTGCTCCCAAGTGCTAACAGAAAATAACTTATTCTAGAATGTTATGTCCAGCTATGCTATTATTTAGTAGTAAGAAAGGAGGGAGGGACTTACATTCAGTTAGAGATTTTATCAATAACCCATGAAAAACTGATGCACATCTGTAATCCCAGCTATGCAGGGGGGTGAGGCACAAGCATCACAAGTTCAAGACCAGCCTTGGCACTTAGTTACCCTGTCTCACAACCCTAAAAGGCTGGGATACCACTCAGTGGTAGAGAGCATGCACAGCATGCACAAAACCCTGGGTTAGAGCCCCAGAATGGCGGGGTGGGGGTGGGGGGTGTCCTTGTATGTTAGTAACAGGAATTTATATTGGTAATCACCTTTATGGAGGACAATTTAACAATAACAATACCTAACTAAATTAAAGGTTTATAACTTTGACTCAGCCATTTTCCAAGGATTTT